AGTGTCCATCTGCCACCTGTCGGAAGACAATGGATGGGATGGCCAACACCGAAGCCACCAACCAAGTCACTGCCGCTGCTCCATGAGCCAACTGTCCGGCGCGCCCACTGGCCGTCACCACCACCGTTGATGGCTTGGAGACCGCCAGGCATCGATGGAGACCCAGAAGAGCGATGAGGAAGACGCTGACGTACATGGCAGCGGCACAGAGGTAATGACACGCGCGGCAGACGGCCAAGCCCATGTTCCATTGGCCAACGCTCAAGGCCCGGAGGTAAATGGGACCAGTGAGGAGGGTGACCACATCGGCCAAGGCCAAGTGGAAGAGGAGGAGGACGGGGACGCTGCGACGGTGAGCGATGGCACAGCTCCAGAGGACCAGGGCGTTGCCTGGCAGCCCCACGGCCACTGCTACTGACAGCAGGGTCAGCCCCACCGCTGCGCCAGGGACAGGGACGAATGTGGCGTTGGGTGGCGACGAGGCGTTGGTGGGGGATGAGGACATCGTGATGGCGGGTGGGGACAGGCTGGGGGGAGAGGGGGAAACAGAATCCTCCAGAGAAAGTGCAGGACGTCCCTCCGTCCCTCTGTCCATCCACGCTTTCCTCCCCCCCTCTTCCCACCAAGCTCCCAGCTCACCCCTCCCCAGGGCCCCTCCCTTTCTTCCTTTATGCTCGTCCCCTGAATCTTGGCATCTCCCAGACCTCCCAGTGGGCCACTGCACCACCTGTTTGCCCCATCAAACCTCCCAGTTTCCACCCCCAGGACACCCCAGTGGGCTGCTACACCACTAGATGCCCCCATCAAGCCTCCCAGTTGTCCACCCAGACCTCCCAGTTGCCCCCCAGACCTCCCAGTGGGCCACCACACGATCCATTTCCCCCCATCAAACCTCTCAGTTTCCACCCCCAGACATCCTAGTTGTCCACCCAGATCTCCAAATTGCACCCCAGACCTCCCAGTCACGCCCCAGACCTCCCAGTCACACTCACCCCCTGATCTTCCAGGTGCCCCCTGATCTTCCAGATGTCCCCTGAGACCTCCCACTCCACCGACCTTCCCTCCTGTATCTCAGGGACTCACATGTCCCTTCCCAGAGCCCCTGACCTGGCTGGTGGATCCTCAGTGTCCCTGTCACTGGTGGTGGCCGTGACCGTTAGGTGCCACTTCCCCTCCACCCAGCCCTGGGCAGGAAACGCTCATGCAAGAGGAAGGAGGCAGGAAAACCGCAGGAGAGGAAGGGGACACATGGGTGGGGAGGGACGCTGGACCTTACTTTGCCCACTGGGTGGGGGGAATGACAGGAGTGGTGGCGTTGTCACCACGTAGTGAGACCCTCCAGGAGGTCCTCTAGGAGGTGTGTGGGGTCCGGTTGTTGTGGGGGTGGTGGGAGCATGTTGAGCTGGTGTGGAGGAGACAGGGAAGGTCGTCTTCTACGGGTGGTGTGGCCATTGGACCTTCTTGTCCTCCCCTCCCTCCACCCAACCGTCCCCACATTGGAGCCCTCCCCTCCCTCCACCCAACCGTCCCCACGTTGGAGCCCTGGCCTGATTTTTACACCACACCGCTCTCCCCGCAACAGACGGCCCCCGTGATGGGGTAACCCCAAGTGAGAAGACGACCCAGGAACAGTGGCAGTCCTCCGTAACCACCGCACTGAAGGAATCTCCATTTCCCATCATGCCATTGCCCATCCAAGGAGATCTAAGGCTGGAGGTGTCCTGCAGCAGGATCCAACCTTCCCCTTCCAGGTCTCCCCCCACATTCCCAGATGCCGTTGACAGGCCAGCGTGTCCCAAGACTGGAAATGGCCAACGTTGGCCATTTGCACCCTCTGCTGTGTTTTTTTCCCCCCCCTCCAAACTCATGGGGTTGGGCCCAGGGCAGATGTTCTCCAGGTGGGACCTCACTGGGGTACAACCCAAGAACTGTCCCAGGACTCAGCAGCTCCGTGTTGGTCTGAGGGAGAATAAACCCACTGGTTTTTCTTTTAATTTATTCTCTTCCCAGAGGGATAAGGACAAGGCTGCAGTGAGGCACTTTTGGATCATAACTCAGCTGTTCTCCAGATTTTTCTGAGCTCAAGGATTGTTTTTCTCAACGGAGGCCATGTTGGAAGCTCTTGGGTCACCTTTGGTTTGGGATCCCTTCCAGCGAATGTAGCCTAATGAAGCGACGTGGAAAGAAAATTCTCCCAAAACCATTTTTTAGTGCCAGAAATGAGAGCCCCACCCCCATCTCGGGGCTCACCCTCCTCCCCCCCCTGCCCCCGCCGCCTCACTGAGGAAGGGAAGAAATGATCACGATGGT